CTCGGTAACGTGTTTTCGACTGTAAATGCTTAAAGACTTATTATTATTAAAGAACAAGCGCGCTGATTGGCTAAACCATATAAGACAATCATTGCAAAATTAATAATGATGAAAAGCCCTCCAACTCATCCCTAAATACTTTCTTTACTAACATATTTTGTAAACAACTGTATAACCGACAGTTTCGATCACTGTTATGTACTGAACTCGTCTCACTTACATGGTCAAAGATCAAAGGTCACAGATTTCACTTGCACTTACCAAAAGTGAAGGATCTAGGAAGTCAAGTTCAGATTTTCAGAGGTTAATGGCCAGAATCTCTGACAACTCGGCCTGGCATGACCAGGTGGTTAGGGAGCTCGACTCACAATCTGCTGGTGGCGGGTTCGAATCCCCGTCCCAACAAACATGCTCGCCCCTTCAGCCGTGGGGGCGTTATAATGTGACGGTCAATCCCACTATTCGTTGGTAAAAGAGTAGCCCAAGAGTTGGCGGTGGGCGGTGATGACTAGCTGCCTTCCTTTTAGTCTTACACTGCTAAAATAGGGACAACTAGCGCATATAGCCCTCGTGCAGATTGCGAGTCGAGATCCCTAACCACCTGGCCATGCCGGGGCCCACTGCTAGGACGTTGTAAAAAGGTGACAAATCACACTTATATTTAAGAGGCTACAAACTAAGCAGTTTATTATCTGTTTTTTAGACTCGCGTTATATCAAACTACAGTTTATTAAATCCTAGAACTAAAAACCATTAGCCCTAACGAGTATTTACACTTCCGCTAAAAACAATGAGTATAACGTACATATGTTACGAAAGCTGTGAATAAACTACAGAATTTTGGATATAGAGATAAGAATTTCATTCATTTTATTAAATATTTTTAAATACACCTTAAAGGAAGTAAATAAGATCTGTAAATAACCAACTATACATAATATATCAGTATTAGGCCTATTGTATATTTAAACACGACATTTTTTATACAGTGCCATAGAGATTTTCAAGAATCAGAAGAATGTATAGTTAACATCATAATATATTCAATGTATCCATTGTTGAGGATACAGCTTATAAAAGAAGTTCACACCATAACAAATTAGTTATAGAAATAGCGTTCCGACCACGACTGTGTTTCTTGTATTCTCAGCCTGAAGAGCTCTGGATTGAGTTCTGTAAATGTTGAGAATTTTGTCTTAACTTATTAAAATAATAATTCTGAATTTTTTTGCATTGATTATCTTTGGCATTCCATTGGAACTGGTATAATATTTAGTTTATTTTCGAAGATCTAGGCCCAAAAATCTTGTAACGTTGAAACATGTATCAACATAAAAAATTCAGAAATAAAATATATATTGTTAAAACAACAACTGTTATGGTGTAAGCGTCTTTTCCTAAGCTGATGAAGCATACATATAATTAACTGGTATTAAGCCTATTATATTTTCAGCACTACATTCTTTAAATTGTTCGTCATATTCATTGCCGACGACACATTTTGCTCAATATGGAGGTCATCAGGCTGACGGTTTGTTTGTTTGTTTGTTTG